TAATTCTACACACTAACTGCTAGCTATACACAGAATACCACTATATATTTTGGAGTATCTTTTGAGAGGCTTGCGTAATTGTGATTAGGCTCTGATAATTATAGAAAACAACGAGTGAATCCAAGATAAGCCCTGGCACCAGGTGTTTGTAGATAATTTCAGAATGAACTTAATTCATTTCCCCCAACATAGATTGCAAGCTGTTGTAGTTAAGGACGGAGTGCTGCGTTTTGAATATGTTCTCAAGGGGATGTGCAGAGCTAATTGTGCTGGATTATTTGGGTGTTAATGAAAGGTAATAATGGATGAGCCTTTGCAAAAATGCCACCTAAGATTCATGGGTATAATAATGCTATTTCCCTACAGTGATGCTTCAACAGACACAAACCACCACCACAAAAAAGGGGAGGAAAAGTGAAAGAGACTGGACTAGAGAGCGATTAGGCAAAGCTGCGTAACAAATAAGGTTTTATCTCATTTAAGCAACAGGAATAGAAAAAAAAATCTGTGAAGAGAAGAAGAAAGGTCCCCGCAAAAAGAGATGGATTTACATTGATGTACAACTTTGTGTGCAAAAAAGCAAAAGCAAATACAGTTTAGACCTTAATTGAATATCAAATCTCTTCTTGTCTGAACAGTTTTGTTCTAGACAAACAAGGTCATTATGTCTTCTCTGAATGTTCATGTAAAGTAAGAATTGATGTAAAACTGATGTAGTGAAAAGTATTGGTCTTGCACCTTTTTCATACAACTTGGTGCAAAGCCCAGGAAAGACTTCACAGCATTGGCAGAAGAGCAAGACACGTGACTAAAAATATATTATTGCCTTTGTTTTATTTAAGGTATTTATATATACCACTTAATTACCAAACTCTTTAATCAGTGGACATTAAAAAAAATCAATTCAAATTAATCATAAAAACAGAAAAGCCCCCTAAAATGCCTCCTGAAAAGGCTTTGTTAGGGGCCTGAGGTTCAGTGGGAAGCGAATATGCTTAATCTCAGCTGGAAGGAAAGTGGAATGTGGTCATGGGAGGTAGAGGATGTGGGAAGGTGAGGCCCCAAATCACAGTAGTAGGAAAAAATCATGGTGGGCTGAGAAGTAAGGATCATAAGGCATTATAAGTGGAGGAAGCAGATGGCTAAGAGCAAGAAGAGTGTGGAATGAAGTTGAAGAACCACGGAGAAAGAGGCCTAAGGGCAGAAAATACTAGTGTTCTTCAGGTGGGAAGTTGCACTGTGCCTCCTGGTTGCATTCCTGTTGCACATTTAGCACAATATTTGCCGAGAGGAAGCCTATGTGCATTGGGTTCCCCAGTCACACAAGGGTTCCAATCACATTAAAGCCAACACATGTTACGCTGTTCACCCATAAGCTTCATCCTCACACATGTTGTGCTCAAGCTGTGACAGCCAGGAGATGGAGCCACAGTCTTGCTCAATGTCATCACACTTAATAAAGGTAAAGGACCCCTGACAATTAAGGCCAGTCACGAATGACTCTGGGGTTGCGGCGCTCATCTCGCTTTGCTGGCCGAGGGAGCCGACGTTTGTCTGCAGACAGTTTTTCCAGGTCATGTGGCCAGCATGACTAAGCCGCTTCTGGTGAACCAGAGCAGCGCACGGAAACGCAGTTTACCTTCCCACCAGAGCGGTACCTATTTATTTACTTGCACTTTGACGTGCTTTCAAATTGCTAGGTGGTCAGGAGCTGGGACCGAGCAACGGGAGCTCACTCCGTCGTGGGGATTTGAACAGCTGACCTTCCAATCAGCAAGCCTATGCTCAGTGGTTTAGACCACACAGGATCTGGAGGGGTCTAGTATATTCTGCTGCTGATAAGGCGTGAATAAGACAAGAGAGGTAACAAGTATTATGGATGGACTGGAGCTGAAATGAATCAATATAGGAAATAACAAGTCAAATATTTGGCTGTGGTTCTCTAATGCAAGGCTTTATCCAGGAAAGAGAGTGCCCAAGACAGAAGGCCTTTTCTCCATAGGAGCCGTTTCCTAGGTGTTGAGGTTGCTTTGCCCCCCCCCCCGCCAAGTTAATGAACATTGCCATTCAAATGGTTGTGTGTGTCATGTCATGTGATCGATTATGCAGCCTGCCCCCCAATATTTGGCACCACTGCCTTTCTCTGTCAGACAGTCGGGTTGGGCTTACCTGGCAGTGATGAGTAGTGTATCTTTATTTCAAGCTGTGTTGGGTGGCTAAGTGTAGCCACCGTTTTAATGCTCGTTTTATTTTGGGAAATTAAAATACCCATTCTCTGGGCAGCTGAGGACTGGGACCAGTTTTAGGCTTTGCCAGGGTCCCTGGGCCATGGGAGATGCCCAAGGATACTGGGTGCTGATGCTGGCTCTGCTCTCGTGCTAGAATATACCTGCTTTGTGGATATTAAACACTGTGGGGGTTTGTAATTGCTTTATGACTGAATGGGAGTTATAACAACGAACAAAACACGCAGCAAAAATGCATCATGGCATCGCATAGCAATCAGAGCAACATCTAATCAAGCCTTTTGGCCAGCATGTGGTTATCAATTAAAAAAACATCAGGAGAAAATAGGGCTTGGTTCCAGTGCTGTGTTGGGGAATGAGCCATGGAATTCCCATTACTGGTAATAGAAGCTTCATAGCTAATTCCCAGGGCTGTATACTTTAAACTTTGTGGTAGGTTTAGTTTGTCTCCAAGGGGGGAAAGTAGAAACAAGCACTCCTAGCTATATCATATGGTCCATTGTATCAACAAGTTTCAGTAATGGGACGCTGAGTGTGTGAGGATAAGAGAGGAGAAAGGAGAAGCTCTCACACACTAGCAGGTTCTTCTAACTCAGAAAATAGTTTGAGTCGAAATTAAAATTACCAGATTTGGTCAGTATTGCAAGCTGCCACAGTTTGAGATGGTCGTTGCTTGATAGATTCTAGAAAGAAAGAAAGAAAGAAAGAAAGAAAGAAAGAAAGAAAGGAAGGAAGGAAGGAAGGAAGGATGGATTATGTCACGAGTATTCTTATGAAGTTTCTAATCTCATGAATATATAACTGTTCTCTGAAATTCTGATGTCTTAGACCTCCAGCAATGAAATGGGGAACCAGATTGATACACTTATTTGAAACTCATCATTTTGTCTTTAATAAGTTAGTTTTCAAGGCAGTGTTAAAAACACTGAGAAATACTGACAAGCTTAGGTATTGATATTTTGATTCTGAGATTTCAATATGAGATAAACTGTTCTATAATTTATTACTTATATATTATACATCAAGTAGGATATATCTATATTTTAATAACTGAAGTGACATGAGTTACTTGCTTGTCTCCAGCAATGATTTTAAAGGAATGTAGATTTTCAGAAATGAAATACGAAAGAATGAGACTGGAAGAACTTCCATGAAAAGGAGGATGTAAATCAAAATTAAAGACCCCTAAATACTAAAGATCCAAAGGTTCCAAACTAATTCTAGATGTACTTTGTTGCATGACTATTGGTTGTAGATTAGACATGTAAATCTGTGCCAAATGCTTTCCTAAGAAGTCATATGAGGGTTTTTTGTCTTGTGTCGTATATTGTGTTAGATCCAGCACATCTCTGAAAGAATTGCCCTGTTTGATTTTAATCTCTTTGTACATGTTTCAACATATGCTGAAAGCATTTGGGTAGCCTGTTAAAGATTTAACAGGGGATGCTATAATCAACAGCATGGAAAGCCTTTATTTAGCAGTTGATTTCATTTTGTGCTTTTGCCTAGCCAGGACTGACCCCCAGACACTAGAAGTATTTAGAAGCCACTCTTAGTACCATTGAATGAAGACACTTCCAGGCAGAAAGTGTTCTGAGATTTAGACAGACATCCTGATTCTCCATTTAGCATCTTGAAGGAGCCCATCTTGATCAAAGGTATAATTAGCTGACTAAGTACAAAGCAACAGGATCACTGAGGCCGGATCCAACCTGGGATGGGGTGTAATATTTCCCCCTGTACCATTTCCCCAATGCAAATCTGTTCTAGCAAGCTGTTGTTTGCCATCTTAGGGAAATCTCTTGTGGACAAAGCCTGTACGGTAGGTTTTGCCTAGTGGGGCAAAAAGCAGCTTTGGGGAATGTGTTCTGTCAGGAAAATGGCACAAGCACAAAGGCTTAAATCCTCCTCTTTCGGGACTGTGAGTCCAGTAAGGTTATCAATGGCTATGAGCTGTGATGGCTATATTATCCTTAATATATCCTTAATATAAGAAATAGTATGTTTCTACATAGCAGTTGGTGGGGAGCATGAGCAGGAGAGGTCCATTGTGCTCCTGCTGTGGTCTTCCTGTTGGCAATTGGTTGGTCTTGGACTGCTTAGGCCTTTCAGCTTCTTTTGCACATCAGCCCCCTACCCTGCCTTGCTGTTTGTCAAAATTTAGAGAGAAATGAAACCTGATTATTTCTCTTTTATCTTCTTCATCTCATCTAGTTTTGACCCAAGTCTACCACACTATTTTCCAAGGGATTGTATTTTAGCAGGGTCGGAGAACCATTTCTTTAAAAAACAAACAAACAAGGTATACAGATCTGTCACACCTTTTCTATTATATATCAAAATATATTGAATTATCTTGCACGGCTATTGAAGGAATGTATTTGGTACAGAGTATTTTCAAGATCTGAAGTGGACAATTGATTTCTCTACGTGCCAGTTTTTCTCTCTACACCTGCCATGTTGCTTCTGCTCCCTATTCTCTGTTGTGCTCTCTGCATTCTTTGTCGAACCAAAGCCAGCCAACGAGAGCCTCGTCTTGGTTAATATTCCAATGACCCAGACATCAATAACCAAAGACTCATTAAAGCAAGCTAATTAAATAAAAACAATAAGCCAAACAATTAAGGCTAAAGTCATGACCTTTAATGATCCCAAGCCCTGTCTTTTGACAAAGAATTAATCTTTAATCACCCCTAATGGCCTTTTGCATTTTTAATGTGTGCTGCAGTTATTTTGCCCCCTCCCCCCAAAGGGAGTCCTGCGTTCCTTTTTCTCCTCTTAGTTGCTCCTGTGGGAATAGAGATTAATTGCTCTTACGAAGGTGAAATGTAGTTAAAGTTTTCAGGCTCTCTCGCTGCTTCCTTTGACAACTGTCATCAATGCAGCAGCCGCACATATACTTTTAAGCGATGTCCTTCGTGGCTTTCCATATAAGATTAGCCTCAAGAGTTTTCTGAAAGTGCTTTAGTGACTGTGTAAGAAATGCCTAATAACTAATTTGCTGATTTTCATTGTTCCGGCAGCGTAGGTTACATTTAATTTAGGTGAATGGAACTGACAGCTTGATATGTGGTTCAGGTCAAATTTAATTTCCAGCTGAAATTACCAACTTTGCAAACACAGCCTTGCCAGGAATTTTGCCCCTAACCTGCCAGTGTTCTTGACATTAACTGTTGGACCTGTTGACTGCATTTATGTTTTTTTTAGTTGGTGAATTTATCATGATATTTATCCTCACTGTTTCCAGGAATAGTATATTGGAGCGTGTTTTCAAATTGCATTTGTGCTTATATTGAGAATATAAGAAGCCCTTACCAAAAGTCTATTTAGTTCAGCATAATTTTTCTATTGCCTCTGCCTTCCTGCAAATGGCAAGTGATATTCTGCCTCTTGACATGGAGCTTCCATTTTACCATGGTGGCTAATAAGTGTTGAGTTTTATCTAATCCTTTTATGAAACCTGTCTAAACTCCTGGCTGTGGCCAGACTGTGTTTTAGTTCTTTCTCCAAAGATTCAAGGGAAGATGGTAGTATGATCTGACGTCTACCAAAGAACACTTTTCATGTAGCAAAATCAGCCCCTAATAAATGCAAGAGCTCTAGAGTTCAATTTTATAATGAATAACAGAAATAAGAGGGAAAGAGAGAAGCAAACTGTTGGTCTGTGTTCACATTGATTCCTCCATTTAACTCTCTGGCAACTGTGTGCAGTCTTTTTGTAGAGTTATAGAATTGTAGAGTTTGAAGGCACCACAATGGTCATCTAGTCCAACTGCATTGGGATAATGCAATTATCATAGATCAACTGTTTTTGCATATCTTGCTCCATGGGTACCTGTTGAACCAGTGCTGGATGAGTTTTTGTCCTGAGATAGGGCCTAAAGGAACACCAGTAGTTTTTGATGGACCAACCCTACATGAATGTGTCCAATGTAATTAAAACCCATCCAACCTACTGATAAGTGATTGTTTGCAGAAGTACCATTGGGGAATCCACGTATAAAGGGCATATTTAAAGGGCATAAAATCTGGTTTAAATAAAAAAACAAAGCTTTAAAGGGGAGAAAAGGAGCTTTGATATTCTCCAGTAATAATTAGCACCTGGATAGCAGCAGACCATAGTGGAGTGGGGCACAACTGCCCTCTTGACACTGGTATTGCTGCTGCTTACCAGGGTGGGGCTGAGGAGGGCAGCAGCACAGGTGGAGGTGCCTTGTGGATGCACTGGATTGGCGGCACTGTTCCCACTGGTGCATCCATGCAAATCAAACTCACCAGAGCCCCATCCAGGTAAGCAGCCACAATGCCAGTGTCAGGGAGGTGGCTCTACATCACCACACATTCCAGTCCTGGCAGCAGACTAGATACACTCGGTGTCTGCAGCTAACCCTTTAGTGGGCATTATAGGCTTATAGCTCTTGGGATGGTGAACACAGGAAAAGGAAGAATGCTACAGCAAGTAGCTGTGCTCTGGTGTCACAGGCTCCTGTCCAGGTCCTCCCTGATGTCCATGTGTACAGAATGAATGACTGTAAAGAGTAGTTATACAAACAAAGGCTTCTGTGGAATCTGGAACCCTGGTTGTTTGCATTTCCAGATCCTGTGGAAGCCTTCCCAAGTACAGCTATAGGAACAAGAGCCCCCGCTCCCTAAAATAGTTCACACTGCATGTACCGAAGTCTGGAAATGAGTAGGAGATGCTGTGGGTGGTTCATGGCCTCACTCCTTGCTCCTGTATTCATCAACTCAGCAGATACATAGAGTGGCTGGGGCAACCTAGCCAGATGGCTGGGGTATAAATAATAAAATTATTGCTATTATTATATAGCACTTAAACCGGGCGAAAGTGGAGCAGACTCCCTCACTATAGTGTTGTGCGTTTTCCCCTCATCTATACATATAAAATGGCATGTGCAAATCTGTGTCCTCTTTTGTGGCGATGCATAAGTGACCTTGCGAAGTACAAGCCTCTGTCTGTCTTGAATCTGCTACAAATGAACTTCACGTGGGTAACCTTCAGTTTTTCTACTACGAGAAAGGGGAGGGGAAAACACTTCTCTCTATCTGCTCTTCCCACATTTTTATGAATTTATGTACCAGTATCATGGCCTTATTTGCCTTTCTTTCTAAACGGAAAAACCCTTAGTTAAGGAAGTGTGTGTCTTAATTGATCAGCTGTCGCCTGCACTGTACTCCTGCATCTACATCTAGCTGAAAGCACAGTTCACTGAACTCCATGTGAGGAAAAAGCATTATAAAGAACTTGTCCTGTGATCTCAAGATGTTGCTAGGAAAATGTAAGCATCTCCAAGTACAGAACGCAAAGCTCACAGGGACAGAAGAAATAAACAACCCTTAACAAAATGTTGCTTTTATGAGTAGGCCGTTGTTTGCCTCTGTCTCCTTCTATATAGTCTTCCTTTTTAAAGAGGGAACAGCAAGTAAGTGGCGAAGCTGATAAAAGGCAAATTTCTGTAGAGTGTTCTTGTGTCATTAGGATAGTAATGCTCCTGTTCACACACCTTTGTCTCTCACCTAGACAAGCACTGTGACGCTAATGAGCGAGAGCAACCAACTCATTTTGTTGCACCTTTCCTCGCACAATGCTGCTCTGTCCCCTTGTCAGGCAGGAAAAAAATAAGGATAAAAAGGAAAGCAGATTAGCCTTTGACAGTAACAAAGGACTTAAAAAGGTGTTGATGCTGTTTAATGTGAAACTGCACTGGATAACATTTACGTTTAAGATAAAACCGAGTACCAAAAAACAACAGCAGAAACAAAAAGAAGGAAAAAAGATGCATTGGATTAGTGGTTCTTTAGCTATAGTTTGGACATTGCTAGCTGTACAAATCCCAGTAGGTTTTGCATTTCAAAGACTTCATTGTTATTCAGTTTGTTAACAAGGCAATGATCAAAGAGATCCAGGCTAAAGCATTCATTTATTTTAATTAAAATAACTGCTCCTGTCTCTCATAGGTTAATCTTTACAGTATTCATATCTAGTAAGAGAATAATTGGTAACCTTAAAATGTAAGCAAGGAAGACAGAGTACACTTGGTCTCCAATAGCCCTATGGATGAAGGTAAAAGAAGTCCAGATTTTCAAGCATACAGTCTGGTAATTGCTTGATCTCATTTGCAATAAAGCTAGAGTTTCTGCCCACTGAGGGCTTTGGCCAAGCAGACTCCATCCGTTTGTTGTTATGCTAATGAGATAGATACTGGGTAAGACTGTGTGGCTTTTGCCATGCATGGATCTGTATCAGCTTGCCGTACTTCATTTGCTACAATATAAGCTGCCTGCCTGTTATCAGCACTCCTAAAAGGAATTCTGGACAGCACGTTATTTCTTACTTGTGACTGTATATACTGCAACTCCCATGCTGAGCAGCGGCATAAACCTTTACTCCCACAAGGCACCGGCAGAACAACTGATACCAGAGGAAACCAGATGGTCCTGCATAACCCCTGAACCTCCACACCAGGGAGCCCAGGCAGCTAAATGCCTGTCCACCAGCAATGAGACTGGAAGGAACTAACTGAAGGTCTCCCAGTCCTTGGGAAAGGTGATCCGGCTGTGCTGGAACAAAAGGACTCCATTGAGCTCCGCACCTCATTGGAGCAAGTTGCTCAATGGAGCTCTCTGCAATTCTCTCTCTCTCTCTCTCTCTCTCTCTCTCTCTCTCTCTCTCACACACACACACACAAACACACACACACACAAACATACACTGTTTATATCACTGAAGAACACTGATTTTATCTGTTTGTATTTGACATGAATTCCAGAATGGTCCATCTAATTTAAAAGTATTGTTTCAAGTACATCATGATGATGGAGTCAGATCTGCATCAGGTGAAAGGACAGTTTTTGTATGCTGGCTACAGTTGTACATTTACTATATTGTTAATTCCCAGTAGTGTTGGTGGTTCCCCCACACAGGGTGCCAAGCAGAGGGAGATAACAACAAGCATATATTTATATGGGTACCTACTCAAATTTGCCGGGGGCGGGGGTTGGTCTGTGCTCAGGGCGCAAGGTTACCAAAGTCTGGTGCTTTAAGGCCTAACATGATTGTTTGATGAAGGCTACTAGACCTTACAGCTCAATTTACAATCCTATTTTATTTATTCATGTATTTACATATAAAGCATATATACTTTAATCTAGAACCAGGTTCTGAAGGCAGCTTACCAGCACCCAAAAATAATGAAACCAGTTAAAGTCAGGACAAAAGATGTCTATGATTTGTCCCTCATTACATACACAAATTGATTACTGTAACCTGGGTCAGAATCTGCCTTATCATTAATATGCAGTCACATTTCTTACCATGCCTGCAGGTGGAACATAGATTGTGGGTACCCAGTGAACCATTCATATTTGCTAATTATAGAAAGGCAATTTGTCCTGTGATGATGGACCATTGTCTTGGGAATCCGTGAAATAAGCCCACAATTGTGCATGGAATTCAAGACTGTGATCATTGCAAAGGAGCTGATGTGCATCCCTCCACTCATCCAAAAGCCTCTAAATCTTTCCATTAAACAATGTTCAGAAACAACTATTGCAGCAATGTTTTTACAGGAGAGCACATTGATACCATGTTGTCATAGGAGGTTCAGAACTTTTAACCTAAAAGCAAACAGACACTTAAAAGTCAAATATTCTTCCTGGAGCAGGTTTTCTAACCTCATTTGCCAAGGCCAGGTAAAGTTAACAAGGTTTTTTCTCCCCTTTTTTTCTAAAAAAAACCCACAGCAAAACCCATTGCCCCAGAAAACACTGATTAATTATTGATCCAATGAATATGTTTCTTTTCAAAGCCATCCAATAGCTTGGAGCCAGTACTTAGAATATCTGACAAACTTCTCCTAGAGGATTAACAAAATGAACTCTTCAGCAGTTCGCAGAAAGGATTTTCATAGCAGCAGGTTAAATAAAACAGACAACGTGTTGAGCATATTAAGTCTACAACGAAAAATACTAATAAATGGGTCAATCTCTGACCAGCTGATGAAGCTGCCTCATCTGTCCGCTGTAACCCCTGGTAGATAGCTGTGCTGCCAGCCTGAGATTCTTTTAATTGGAGCTATCGGAGAATGGAACCAAGGCCTTTTGTATGTAAAACATGCACACCAGTGCTGAGGTACGATTCCTCCTCAGTATGATATGTTCATAAATGAAGAATGTGCCAAAATATCTTGCTTAAGCTATTTGGAAACTAAGATAATCTGTGTGTAGTTGTGAAAGGCAAGAAAATGTGACTCATGCCCCTTATGATACTGTGCAGTTACGCCCAAAGGGACTTCACCTCTGCAACTGAAAGTCACAGTTGATCCTGAGCAACAGGTGTCATATCAGTGGTTCATGAGCCAAACAACTAACTGACAAAAGCCCTTAGCACACTTCAAAGGGAGAGATCACTTGACTCTTAACTCGCCTCCATTGGCATCACTCATTGGGGCTCGAATCCTATGCCTGCTTGCCTAGAAGTGAGCCCCATGGAACTTACTCTTGAGTAGACACGTGTGGGGTTGTGCTGTAAAAGTATTTAATTCTGAGAATGTTCCGCTGGTTTATCAGAATCCTTAAAAATTGAAGGTTGCTGTGTTGCTCCATTAGAAAGGAATCCAAAAGAACCAATAGGGGGACACCTTTGTTAGCCCAACTAAAAGGTCTCCAAAATTGTGAGCAGGCTTCTGAGAAGAACAGAGCTCATTTCCAGGCTGGACATTAGGCAAAACTACAGAAAGGACTCAGGAAGAGACAAAGTTTGGATTGACAGAAAAGCCTCAAGGTCTGTATTTTGTAACAACCCTAAAATGATTGTTGCCATCCAACCAGTAGCTAATATCACCCAAATCTGGCTTGTGTTGACTCTTAGTGTACTCCCTGAAATTAATCTCCAGCTTTGGAGTCTATCACATTTCTCTTTATTGTCTGCCTTACGAGGGATAAATGTATTCCATTTATCACTTTCTTTTATAATTTCAATGTAGGGACAGCCATTATTGTTTGCTTGTCTTCTTATTATCAGTGGTTCAGGAGGATGGTGTAATCTTCCACTTTTGTATCTGTCGTATTTGGCACCTGTTTTGCATCAGTTTATCGCATCCTGCACTTCATGGATTCACAGAATTGTAGAGTTGGAAGGGACCATGAGGGTCATCTATACCAACCCCCTGCAATGCAGGAATCTTTTGCCCAATGTGCCGCTCGACCCCACAACCCTGAGATTAAGAGTCTCATGCTCTACTGCCTGAGCCATCCCAGTCATGGGATATTCTTAAGAATGTTGCAAACTGCTGACTTTGTGGTTTTCCCATCATGTCCAGCTCCCACCCTTTAATATCCAGGGTGATAAAGACTTGTGGAGAACTCAAAACCCCAGTTCTTTGTGACAATTTGGTTGTTCTTAATAAAGGTATTACTGTACCCTGTTGCTGCATTTGAATACATTCATAGTAAAGTATTGGAGGATTTTATCCTTAGTCTGTTTGCTTTCTAGTACTGCAGAATCAGTTCAGGTTACATCCAATGTGAGGATTTAAAATTGGTTGCCTGTAGAATATATAATAGTACCCCAAATCCACAAGAGCAGTGCTATGCTGAAATCTATTCAAATCAGCTGTAGCATAAAATTCCTGCTATTTTTATAGTAGACTGGAAGCTGAGTTTTCACTTATTGAAGAATTCTGCATGCAACTGCAGGTTACCCCCATGCCATTCACTGCAGGCTACTCCCATGTCACAGAACAGTTGCAAACACAAAACCATTAAGAGGGAGAGTCTGTCATAAAATAACACAGAGAGCAGTATAGTTATGAGGAAAATGAGCAGTTGGTTGGTTTTGACTGGGGGCAAAATTGTTCTAGGGCCCAGGTGCAAGTTATGGACAAAAGAACCGAGACATTCTGGGGAGATTAGCAAGGCTATTTGAATAGGTTTACAGCTAAAAATTTGGGGTACCACTTGAGAGCCAGTGTGGTGTAGTGTTTAAGAGCGGTAGTCTTGTAATCTGGGGAACCGGGTTCGCGTCTCCGCTCCTCCACATGCAGCTGCTGGGTGACCTTGGGCCAGTCACACTTCTCTGAAGTCTCTCAGCCCCACTCACCTCACAGAGTGTTTGTTGTGAGGGAGGAAGGGAAAGGAGAATGTGAGCCGCTTTGAGACTCCTTAAAGGAAGTGAAAGGCGGGATATCAAATCCAAACTCTTCTTCTTCTTCTCTATATTATACAGACAACCAATTTATCAATCTCCGGGACAGCAGAGGGGTTGAAAGAAGACACTGAGACTACAGTGGTACTTCAGGTTAAGAACTCAATTCGTTCTGGAGGTCCGTTCTTAACCTGAAACTGTTCTTAACCTGAAGCACCACTTTAGCTAATGGGGCCTGCTGCTGCCGCTGCGCTGCCGGAGCACAATTTTTGTTCTCATCCTGAAGCAAAGTTCTTAACCTGAGGTAATATTTCTGAGTTAGCAGAGTCTGTAACCTGAAGCGTATGTAACCCGAGGTACCACTGTATTGTTCAAGACTGGAGTGGGTTTCCTTTTGCCAGGGTTTGGGATTTGCTCTAGAAACCTGGTATGCTCCCTCCAAAACACACACACAGGGATTGGGCCCAAAGCATTCTTTCTGATTCGGAGAGTTCTCACCAGAATACAGGGTGGTGGAGCTTCCTTCTCCCTACCACCTACCAATTTGAAATCTATTTTAAAAGCTATCGCCTCCTGGGGGCAGCAGTAAGCTTTGAC